TTGTTGTTAACCCACTAATTGAGAAACATATCATTTATTTATTAATTTTGATGCTTTTGTTATTTGATTTAAAATTAAAATTTATCACATATTTTTAAATCATTAGTTTTTCTTATTCATATTAAAATTAAATTAGGGGTAAATTTTTTTTTCCTATTTTACTACTCAACTTTCTATTTCTCAAAATGTTGATAAATTTATTACCATATTTGTATTTGAACAATTTTTACTCTCTAAATATTTTATAACTCCGTAAAACAAATCAAACAAGAAAAAAATGAAAGACAAAATTAGGTCACCTCCACGAAGAGATAAAATAAAATTGAGAATATTTTTACAAAATTACTGATCGAGAAGTGTGTCAAATATCTATCTATTTTTATTCTCATACTTATTTCTTATATTATTTGATATTCAATTAAATTATTTCATAGATTTCTAAAGAATTTAATTTTTTCTAATCCTATTTAAATTACGTTTAGATTTTTCTAATTCTACTTAAATTAAGTTTACTTTTCGCTAATCTTATTTAATTAGGTTTATTTTTCACTATTTTACAAATAAAGATAAATAGATAATTTTTTGACATATGATTAAGTCTAGTTAAAAAAAATCTCTTACACTTGTATATACGTGTCAAAATATGGTTAACCGACTTGACACGTGTCCCGATCATGTGCGAACCAAGCTTTGTATAATAAGATTTTCAATTAAACTATGTCACATATTTCAAAATAATAAGATTTTCAATTAAATCATATCACATAGTTTAAAATAATAAGATTTTTCTAGTCCAATTTAAATTGTGTTTAGATTTTCCTAACCTTATTTAAATTAGGATACTTTTCACTATTTTACAAATAAAGATAAATAGAAAAATAATAAGATTTTTCTAATCCAATTTAAATTAGGTTTAGATTTTCCTAATCCTATTTAAATTAGGTCACTTTTCACTATTTTATAAATAAAGATAAATAGATAAATTTTTTTATTTGCGGTAAAMTCTAATTGAAAA